TCTATTGAGACAAGGTCTCTCTCCCTGTAGCAACAGCTGGCCTAGAACTTGCTTATGGCTGACCTTGACCTCACAGAGATCTGCCTGCCTCTGCCTCCTGAGTGCTGGGATTAAAGCAGTGTGCCACCACACTCAGTCCCAGAAGTTTAAGATAATGTCTCACTATGTATTCTTGGTGAGCCTGGAACTGTTTGTAGACTAGGCTAATCTAGAACTCACTGTGTGAATCAAGCTGGCCTGGAACTTGTAGTAATCCTCCTGCCACTGCCTCCTGAGGGCTTAGATTACAGGTATGTCACCACACCTGGCTTATGATGCTCCAAAATTATATTGGAGTGATGGTTGCCCAGCTCTGGTTATACTGAATCAACTGAGGGCTCAGTGGCTGAGCCTTTGCCTAGCATCTATGAGGTCCTGTATTCTATCTATCCTCATTATTACTAAAATTAAGTAAAATTATTGTGTGGGCATGGTGGCACATGCCTTTAGTCCCAGCACTTGGAAGACAGAAGCAGGTGGATCTCTGTGAGTTCAAGGCCAGCCTGGTCTACACAGTGAGTTCCAGGACAGCTGAGGCTACAGGAGACCCTGTCTCAAAACATGTGTGCAGTATATGAGTAAGGACTGCACACGTGTGGAGATCAGAGGACTTCAGGAGTTGGTTCTCTCCTACCTTTCTGTGTGTTCTGGGGATTGAACTCAGGTCATCAAGCTTGGTTAATTGCCTTTACCCACTGAGCCATCTTGCTGGCCCTTACCCTTATTGATCTTTTTGTTTTTTGAGACAGGGTCTCCCTGTAGCCCCAGTTTGCCTGGAATTTGCTATGTAGACCAGGCTGGCCTTGAACTCATAGAGATCCGCCTGCCTGTGCCTCCGGAGTGCTAGGACTAAAGGTGTGTGCCACCATGCCCAGTCATCCTTACTGGCATCTTTAAGGGGAGATTTATGTGGGTTTGGGGATGTAACTCAGTTGGTACAGTGCTTGCCTAGCATACACAAGGTTCTGAGTTCAGTCCCCAGCACCACATAAAACCATGGTGCATGCTTGTCATCTTAGCATTCAAGAGGTAGAGGTGGGAGAACCAGAAGTTCAAGGTTATCCTTGAACAAGTTTGAGGCCAACCTGGGCTACATGATACACCATCTCAAAATAAAAAAAAATAAAACCTTAAAACAAAACCTGCCGGGCATGGTGAGTTCCAGGACAGCTGCGGCTACAGGGAGACCCTGTCTCAAAAAAAAAGACCCCCCCCAAAAAAAAACAAAACCTAAAAACTAACCTAACCAAAAGAATTGGGGGCTTAGTGGTCCAGCCTCCTCCGTCTGGACTGTGCTCTTCATCATAGGGGCTTCTGTGACCTTGTAGAAGGTATGTTGCAGGCTAATGCTGTCTCAATCTCTTGGCTAGGTGGTATCCAGTCTGAAGAGGCATGAGCTGGGTGCTGGCCCGAGGCCTCTCTAGGGGCTGGGGAAGCATCTGCTGGGATACCCTCTCAGGATCCCATTTCTCTCAGGTAACCACAGGCTGGGCATTCATGGGATGGAGTGGGGAAGGTCTGGGCTTTGTTCTCACCTACTTCAAACTCACAGGAGCTGAGAGTTGTCCGTGACCAGCCTGCCAGTACTGTTGCTGTGATAAAACACCATGACCAAAAGCAACTCAGAGTTGATTTTGACTCTTAGTTCCAGAGGGAGAGTCCATCATGGTGGGGAAGGTATGGCAGCAGGTGGCTAGAGCAGGAAGCTGAGAGATCATATCTCAACTGCACACAGTAAGCATAGAGCAAACTGGAAATGGGACAAGCCTATAACTCTCAAAGTTTGCCCCCAGTGAGATGTCCTAAACCTCTCCACATGGCATGCCCAACTGGAGACCAAGTGTTCAGATACATGAGCCAGTCGGGGAAAGTTCTCATTCAAACCACTGCAGTCCCTAACATCTGTATAAGGGTGTATGTGTAGTGTATGCACACGTGTGTGCATGTGCACTCACATGGAAGCCAGAGGAGAAGACTAGGTGTTGTGCTCTATCGGTCACTGCCTCAAACAGGGTCTCTGAACCTGGAGTTAGGCTGGCAGCTAGCAAGCCCCAGTGATCCTCCTGTCCTATGTGGGTTCCAGGAATCAAACTCAGGTCCTCAGGCTTGGCAGCAAGTACCTGTATGTGCTGAGGCATCTCACCAGCCTGATTATTTTGAGACAGGTTCTTGATTGTGTAGTCCAGGCTGTCCTTTAGCACCCCATTTCCTGCCACATCTTCTAGGTGCTGGTTTTACAGGTATGTATCCTCTTGCCAGCTCTGTTTATTACTTTTTGCAGTGCTGGAGATGGAACCCAGGGTCTTGTGCTGCTAAGGTAAGGGCTGTACCACCGAGCTTTATCCCCAGGTTTTTGGGGTTTTTTGTTTTTTTGTTGGTTTTTTTTTTTGAGACAGGGTCTGCCTGTGGCCCCAGCTGTCCTGGAACTATGTAGTCCAGGCTGGACTTGAACTCAGAGAGATCCGCCTGCCTCTGCCTCCCAAGTACTGGGATTTAAGGCATGCGCCACCACGCCCAGCTGGTGTTTTTGTAGACTGCTCCCAAGTACCTGTGAAATTAAAGGTGTACACTACCATGTCCAGCCAGGCGACTGAATTATTTGATCCTCCTGCTTCTACTTTTCAAGTGTTGGGATTACTGGCTTGAGCCACCAACCTTTGTGTGTTTGTGGGGGTGGGGTTAGGGGTGTGTTCCACAGTGCATGCAAGTGCATTCATGGAGATTAGAGGCAGCTTTGTGGAGCAGGTGCTCGCCTGCTACCTTTATAGACATTTGTAGGACAGAGCTCAAGTCTCCAGGCTTGCATAGCCCTGGCACTGTTTGTTGATGTTTTTTGTGTGTGTCAGAGCCATATGTATCCCAAGCTGGCTTGGAATGTGATGGATAGCCCAGGCTAGCCTTGAACTCTCAGTTCTGCTTCAGCCTCCTTTGGCCTGGGATTACAGGTTTGTGTATTGAATTGCACCTTATAATGGTGTCTGACCTTGGGTTAGTAACAGGACCAAAGTCCCTCAGTACCCACGATCAAGGGTAACTCCCTGAAGAGCCACCTTGTAGCTTTCAGGAGACACTGGAAGGTGCCAAGCTTCTGCAGCCATTCTCTATCCCCAGGTGACTCCTCAGGCCCCATGGAGCCTCCACTACAGCACAGTCAACCACAAAGATGAGGCATGGCTGGTTCCTCAACCCTCTGAACCCCAGAGAAAGCCCATCAGGGTCCTGACACCCCATGAAGAGCTGTTCAGGCCTTCTCCTGATGGGGAGCGGGACAAGGCGAGCTTTGTGGGGGCCGTGCAGAACTTCAGACAGTACAGTGTGCACAAGCGTGGCCATGTGGACTTCATCTACCTGGCCCTGCGCAAGATGCAAGAGTTTGGTGTGGAGCGGGACCTGGCCGTGTATAACCTGCTGCTAGATGTCTTCCCCAAGGAGGTCTTCCGGCCACGCAATGTCTTCCAGCGCATCTTTGTTCACTATCCACGGCAGCAGGAGTGTGGGATTGCTGTCCTGGAGCAGATGGAGAGACATGGTGAGGCTGTGGGCTGGCTACAGAGGGTAATGGGCACCCCTACATGGCACTCAGGCTCCATGCCCCTTCTATGTGTCCTTCATTTCTTTCTTTTAAATTTTGATTTATTTTTATATGTATGTGTTTTGCCTCTCTGCATGTATGTGTGCCACCTGCATGCAGTACCTGTGAAGGCCAGAAGAGAGCATCATATTCCCCCGAAACTGGAGTTACAGATAGTTGTTAGCTGCCTTGTGGGTCCTGGGAACCAAACCCAGGTCCTCTGCAAGAGCAAACCACTGAACCATCTCTCCAGCCCATCTTTCTTTTCCTTTCTATACAGGATTTCACATAGCTCAGGCTGGCCTTGAACTCCTGATCTTCCTGCCTCTGCCTCCCCAGTGCTGGGATTACAAACATGTGCTACCATACTCAATTTATGTGGTGCTGGGAATTGAACTCAGAGTTTTGTGTATATTAGGCAAGCCTTCTACCAACTGAGCTACATCACCAGTCCCATACCCTGCTTCAAAAGAAAATTATTTAAAATAAAATAAATTCTTTTTGTTTTGTTCTGTTTTTTGAGACAGGACCTCTATAGCCCCAGCTGGCCTGGAACCCACTATGTAGGCCAAAGGGGTCTCAGTCTCACACAGATCCCTACCTCTGCCTCCCCAGTGCTAAAATTAAAGCATGTACCAACACATGGCAAAATAAATTCTCTTTGATTCTATTCCCTCTGGCTGCTATCTGTTCCCTCACTTTGAACTTTAATCTGAGGCTCTGCCTGGATCTGTCCCATACAGGAATCATGCCCAACAAGGACACAGAGTTCCTGCTAATTCAGATATTTGGATACAAAAGCTACCCAATGCTCAAGTTCCTGCGGATGAAGCTGTGGCTTACCCGCTTCAAGAACATCAACCCTTACCCTATTCCTCGGGACCTGCCCCAGGACCCTGTGGATCTGGCCAAGCTAGGCCTACGACACATGGAGCCTGATCTTAGTGCCAAGGTCACCGTCTACCAGGTATGTGCTCCTGTCCACATCCCCAGCTGCCGTCTGGGCTGCTGGGCTCCCAGGGCTCTTATTCACTCACCTGGGGGGGTCACTGTACTACATGAACTCTGACTTCCTGACTTGCCTTCCAGAAGATGCCTCAAAAAATATAATTTAAGCCAATTGTGGTGGCACATGCCTGTAGTCCCAGCACTGGGATACAGAGGCAGGCAGATCTCTGTGAGTTCAAGGCCAGCCTGGTCTACATAGCAAGGTCCAGGACAGCTGGGGCTACAGGGAGACCCTGTTTCAAGAAGACCAAAAAAAAAAAATGTAATTTAAGCCTGGGTACGCCTTTAATCCCAGCATTTGGGAGGCAGAGGCAGGCGGATCTCTGTGAGATAAGAGGCTAACTTGATCTACATAGTAAGTTCCAGGTCACCTGGGGCTATGAAGAGACTCTGTCTCAAAAAGACTCCCCCCGCCCCCCAAAATTGTAATTTAAAAACAAAGACATGGTGACACATGCCTTTAATCCCATCACTAAGGAAGCAGAAGCAGGTGGAACTCTGTGAGTTCAAGGCCAGCCTGGTCCTTACCACAGTTAGATGAGTCTTAATCCACTTAGCTGTTGTAACAAAATACCCTATGTCCAGTGTCTTTCTATTCTTATAAATACCTGAAGCTGGGCTGGAGATGTGTGTATGTACTAGAGCCCTTGCCTAGAATTCCCCAGTGAGGGGCTAGGGGCATGACTCAGTAGTATAGAGCCCTTGCCTAGAATCCCCTAGTGAGAGACTAGGGCATGTCTCAGTGGTAGAGTGTCTGCCTGCCATGCTCAAGGCACTGGGTCCCTAAAAAGAGAATTGTCTTTAGCCAGTATGCTAGGCAAGCACCCTACTAACTGAGTCAGGTCCCAGCCTTATTCTGCTTAGTTTTATCTATCTGAAGAGTTATTTTGTAATTAGAAGAACCAAGGCACACAGGGACAGTGACTTACCTAAGGTTACAAAGGTCATGACAGAGGCAGGATTTTAAAGTAGAATGGCTGGCTTCAAGGTCCCCTTAATGTTGGCATCCCCTCTCCCTTTGGGGAGTCACAACCTTGCACTTCTGCTATCCCCACAGATGGCTTTGCCCAGTGATACACCAGGTGCAGAGGATCCCACCCAGCCCCACATTGTAGGTAAGCCTGTGGCTGTCCCCACCTGCCTATTCCCACTGGGCCCACCAGATGGCCCTTTTGAAGTCAAGGCACCAACAAACAGATCTGTGTCTCCACACCAGGAATCCAGAGTCCTGAACAGCAGGCCACCCTGGCCCACCACAACCCATCGAGGCCTGTCTTTGTAGAGGGCCCCTTCTCTCTGTGGCTGCGAAACAAGTGTGTTTATTACTACATCCTGAGAGCTGACCTACCACCCCCTGAGGAAAAGGTGAGTGACAGGCTGGCAAGGCGCTTGCCACCGAGCCTAATGACCTGAGTTCAATCTCCAGGATACACATGGTAGAAGAAAACCAATTCCTGCAAGTTATCCTCTGACCTCCACATGTGCATAGTGTGGCATTCATTCATGTATACCTCTGCCCTCAAAAAAAAAAAAAAAAAAATTTAAACCAGGGTTGATGGTACATACCTTTAATCCCATCACTGGGGAACCAGAAGCAGGTGGAACTCAAGGTCTACATAGTGAGACTCTCTCAAAAAAAAATAAATAAATAAAACAGGCCAGGCATGGTGGCGCACACCTTTGATCCCAGCACTTGGGAGGCAGAGGATCTCTGTGAGTTCAAGGCCAGCCTGGTCTACATAGTGAGTTCCAGGACAGCTGGGGCTACAGGGAGACCCTGTCTCAAAAAGACCGAAAAAAAAGAAGAGTATATATGGGGTATAGGGGCAGGCTGGTATTGCATAAGGGCTCAGATGGATGCTATTCAGCACTCAGGCCTCTGACCCTGCCTGTTTTTTCTTCTCTGAGCTAGAAAGTTGAGGAGATCCCAGAAGAATGGAACCTCTACTATCCAATGAAACTGGATCTGGACTATGCAAGGGGCAACTGGGACAACTATGAGTTTGACATCGATAAAGGTAAAACCAGAGCCTGCAAGAGCTCAGTGCACAGCAGGGTTGAGGGGCGGGGCATGTCTACAGTTCCAGCCGATACATTGAATATACTGCCCATGTATGCCCTGTACCCAGACACACACAGAATAACACACACACAACACAGGCAGACACAGATACAGAGAAACACACAGACACATACATACACACAAAGACATACACACAGACCCATACAGAGAAATAGACATACATACATGCACGGAGGACACACCCACGCCCACACACAGAGACACACACATACAGACATGCACATATTGACACAAATACACAGAGACATGAGAAACATGCATATAGACATGCACACAGACTCCCAGATACACAGAACACACACACACACACTCCTTTGGTCTTTCGCTCTTTAACCAGCACTTCTCACTGCCTGCAGGCCTGACCAGGACAGATACATGCCCTCAGTCAGTGAGGAATCAGGCAAGTTAATTTAGGGGAGTTGGGGGTAGCAGCGTGACCCTCAGCCTTCAGGTCCTAGTCAAGGTCAGCTTGCTGGTAGCTTGGTGCAGCTGAAGTGTAGAGCAGGCAGTCTAGGCAGAGGGGACAGCTTATATGAAGACATGGAGAAGTCAGTGAAAGGGAGGTCAGAGTATGTCAGAGTGCTGTGGGCACAGGAGCCACCATATACCCATCACACAAACTCCTGTCTCCCAACAGTGACTGAAGGCCCCATCTTTGCCATGTGCATGGCTGGTGCCCATGACCAGGGGACACTCATCAAGTGGATCCAGGGTCTGCAGGAGACCAACCCAGCCCTGGCTCAGATCCCCGTGGTGTTCCGCCTGGCCAGGTCCCCGGGGGAGCTGCTGACATCCTCTGGGCTAGAGGGGCCATCCCCTCTGCAAGCCCCTCCACAGGGCCAAGAGGACGATCACCCTCTTCAGCCACTGCAGCAGCAAGGTCAGAGTGGAGTCTCAGGGGCATGAGGGGCATACACTGTGCCTCAAAGAGACAGTGGATTGCTGTGAAGGCTGAAGAGGACATCTGAGAAAATAAATAAAAATTGTTCCCACCTGGGACCTGGCTTCCCTCTTCCAGCCATGTGGGATCCCTTCAGATGCTGGGCTCGTCTAACATTCTGGGGCCCTTATTATGATTTTTGTTTCTTTTTTTGAGGCAGGGTCTCACTGTAGCCCCAGCCGGCCTAGAACCTGCTCTGTAAACCAAGCTGACCTCAAGGTCAGAGATCTGCCTGGCTCTGCCTTTTACTTCAGTGTTTAATTTTCATTGCGTTACTTTATTTCTCATTGCATTTTTAACTTTTGGAAATTATGTTTATTATATGGGAGGGGTGCAACAAGTGTGGAGGTCAGAGGACAACTTAATAGACTCCATGCTGCCTTCCACCTTGTGGATCCTGGGAATTGAACTTAGGAGGCAATCACCTTTACCCGCTGAGATAGCTCGTCCACCCCTTTTTTTGGGGGGGGGGTGTCTTTTTTTTTTGAGACAGGATCTCCCTCTAGCCTTGAATTCAAGAGATCCGCTTGCCTCTCCCCTGAGTGCCGGGATTAAAGATATGCACCACCCCTGGCCAGGAATTAGAGAAGCTGGCCTTGAACTCACTAGGTCGTAGCCTAGGATAGTCTCTAATTCCTGGCCAAATAGTGGACTAACAGGCTCACATCACCACACCAAGCTCCCGCAGACCTTTTCCACGAAGGCAGAAAGTTAACAGGCAAGCCAGAAGAGGGGCTGGGCGCATGCGCAATTTCCACTCCCGGTCCCCTTCTGGCGCCGCGGGGCAGTGAGGAGTCCGTGAGAAATCTCCCGGCGGCGCGGACTAGGCGCGCCACTTCCGGCCGGGGTTCCTAACAACGGGGGAGGCTGGTAACCGGGGTGGG